AAAGTATGAGGCACATTCAGGTTATTGAGTTAAGCGTGCATCTAAATCACAATTCTTCATTTAATTTAAAAAAAAAACTGATATTGGGACGAATTTTGAGGGGAAAAAAACGGCACTACTGCGCCTGTTTTCGAATCAACGTGGCGTCGGATGAATGAAGACGTATCCCCTGACGATAATATTCGGCGCCCTGCCGGTAAACTACGGCATAAATAATAAAATCGCTCCTCGAAGATAAATAATTTTGATTTATTTGACCGCTTGCTTCGCCTGGCTTGGCCTGACTTGGCCTGCCCGGCCGGCGGCAGCGCGGCGTGGGCATTGCTCCCTGCAGCCTCTCCCCGACAGTGCACCGCCTTTTGACAAGACAATCACGGCCTGCTAAGAACGGCCGCGAGTTTTAATGAGAGACTCCACAAGGCCGTGACTCGTCCGCGGCGCTCGCGCACTAAAATTTATTTTTCGGAACACACCTCACTTTGGGAGGATGTGGGTGCATTGGGGAAAGGGGCTTTGTCTCTCTCTTTCTCTCTCGCACTTGAGGCTGGGCTGGGCTGAGAGAGAGACAAAGCGACGGAGCACTATCGCGATCAGGAAATAAATCCAGAAACGCAAACAGCTCGCGGCGGAGTGCACGATCGATATTATTAATTATGCCGAGGTTTTAATTAATTCATTCATCAGTCGTCGGTCGGTGCCCGAAGGAAATTGGGATAGAAACTTTCCAACGAAGATTCACAAAAAAAAAAAAAAAAATTGTAAGAGTACTGGACTGCGCACTTGGAAACAAATGAACGCGTGGGGGAGTGTTTTGACGTTTTTGACACTTGACAAAAAAACGAGGTGACAAATCGTGGAAAAGTGTTGAGGTGGCACTTGGTCTCCATTTGGCCGAGCGGGTCCTCTAAGTGCGGACAGTCTGGTCCGGCTCGCTCCAGTTCTCACCGCAAGGACGCCGGCGGAGGGGTGGGGGTGGGTCCCCGGCATAATTGGCTTAATAAATGATGCATCAACCCGTTCGCCGGGACAGCCGGCTGTCCCGTCCTTTCGTCGCTCTGTCTCTCTCGCACAGCCGGCACGTCGCGTGGGGGAGCGAGCGAGACAGAGCAAGACTGTCCGGAATCGCTCTTGCAGATAAGAGGGTCACCCACCCCTTTGGATGTGCGTACGTTTCATGCAAAAAAAAAAAACAAGAGAAGATTCTCCGCCGAGCTGGAGAACCACTCGCGAAAAAAAAGGATTCCTGCACCCTTCTGTCGCACCCGCACAATCTCGCGTGGTACCTGGCACACACACACACACACACACACAGTGTGCCGGACAGGTCGGACCCCTGAGGGCGCGCTCACACATCACGCCGGGACGCTGCCTGTCCCCCCTCCCCCTCCCCGCTGGCCGCGTCGCGTCCACGGCAAGGCAAGTTCTCACATTCTCACACTCTGCATGACCATGCAAAGCAGTGCAATGCGGCATGTTTTTTTCACCTTTTACCTTTTTTTTCGTGTCGCGTTGGTGGCACTGGGAAGGGAAGGGTGAGAGGCGTCGTGAACGGAACAACATCTGTATCCAAAAGTTTGACGCGGCCGGGTCGGCACAAGACTCGGAACATTAATGCTTTATTGTTTATTTTATTTCATTTTTTCGGACGTATCATCGACGGTGGTGGAGCGCGGACTTCCGCCTGACGGTCTGACGCCATTGTGCTGCGACCTCCCCGTCGACCTGTGCAGTGCAGGGGCTCCCCGGGGTTGGCCGCACAGTGGGCCAGAAGACCGGTGGAGGCGGCCAAAACTTCGACGCGTTTTGAGCTCCAGATTCGCCTAATGGGACTCGAATTGATTGTGTGACCCCACCAATGGATTCCTCTTTCAGAAAGCAATCTAATGGTGGGGTCACACGTTAGGTTCTAGTCCCACTTAGCGACTCTGGAGCTCAAAACGCGTCCGGGGTTTTGGCCACCTCCGCCCAGTGTGGGCCGCCCGGACCAGAAGGATTGTTTCGTCGCCCTGTCTCTCTCGCACTCACGGGGCGCCTCTTAGGGGAGGCGACGATCCTTCAGATTGAGGCGACAGCCAGAGCCCGGGGACTTGAATGCAAGCGAGGGCGCGAAGCAAGACCACCCTTCATGTCCCGAAAATCAGGAATCCAAAAACCAAGTCCACTGACGGACCCAAGCGGAAACTCGGCGAAGAAGTATATGGGTAAGTAGGGGCAAGAAAAGTACACCTCTACAGAGTTGAAATTTTTACTTCGAACCGTCTCTCCACCAGTTATTTCAACTAAAAATCTGAGTACCAAGTCTCCTTCGAGATCTGTACAATAGGCCACTAGGGTGTACTTTTCTCACCCTCTAATTTTCTACCCCAGCCTACCTGTTCAAACTTCGCGCGACTGTACCGCGGCGGAGCCAAACCGCACCCATTGACTATTTTTATGGCCCCATCATCGGCGGCAATCGATATCTCGAAGGGGAGCCGCATGGCGGTGCAGCGCGGTGCGACGCGGTGCCGGGTCGCACAAAGGCGGAGGCAAGTGCAGAGGGAGGCAGTGAGACGTCGCACCTCTGTGCACCTTCGGGAGCCTCTACATGACCTCCCCTGCCCTCGGCGGCCCTGGCGGCCCTGGCGGCCCTCGGGGCCGGGACGCTCCGTCTCTCTCGCACCCTAAGGAACGCCACACGAGTGCGAGAGAGACGGGAGAGCGCCGTCCGGAGCGAGCCTGCTGCACACCCCACGCGTTGCTCCATACCTCCACATTACCTGAGGCGTCCCTCTCCCCCCTCCCTTCACCATTCTTCCCTTTCTATAACTACGAATTCTATTATAGTCATTCCCCCTTTATGACATCAAACAAGGCGCGTGAATGGGGAGGCCCTTCCCCTTCCTGTCCCCCCCCCCCCCACCTCGCCAGCCATGCCGATTTGCATACGAGACTTCATCATTTGGGCGAATCGATTTTCTGGAAAATCCCTCACATTTGGCACGGCCGACAGAAAACGGGAAACATGTTTACGAAAGGCGCCTCGACGAGTTTCGGGCTGTTTCAATAGAAGGGTTGCCAGATCGAGTCCGTGGTAGGGGGAAAGGGCGGGGGGGCCTTTAGCACGATTTTTAGGTGGCAGTTCTGTACAGCCCTTGCTTAAAACGATCAACGACCAATTTTAAAAAAATACGTCAGCCCGATTATCGTCTCTCGCTGTTTTTGTTTTGGCTCAGTCGGCGAGTGCTACACTTGTGCTCGGGCACGCTTCACGGGGGGCGAGAGCGCAGCGAGAGAGACGGGAGAGAGAGGGAGGGGGACCCCCGCGGGTACCCCGGGGCCAGGAAACACAAAAAAACGGGGGCTTAGAATTAGAGTTAATCTGTCGTTTCTTTCGGATTCATCTGTTCAATTATTCTTGCTATTATTCAGAGCGCTCGAAATCGCCTCCCCTTTTCGCCACCTGTGGGCGCGCGTGGCCCGGGGTGTGGGAACGGCCGCGCCTAGCCGCGCCATGGGGACAAGCGTCATGAGAGTCACGTACAAGACGGTCGCGGGTTCAAATCCCGGCAATTTTTTTTTTGAAACTTTGAATTAAGAAAGAGTTAATTTTTGTGCGGTCACGGCTCTGCGAGCGACATGGTGAACCCCTCATCCCCCTTCCCCTCTTTCTCGGCGACTTTGTCCCCCCTCGCGCCAACTTTGTCGCGAGTCTGAGCCTGCTCATCGGGGCTGCCCTGATCCCCAGCCGGCGGACGCTTCATTGACTGCCTCCCGGACCGCGGACGGTCGCGGACGGTCCCGGACACCGCCGACACCTGCCCGACGCGTGCTCCCGAGACGCTCCCCGCCGGGGATCCTTGTCTTGCAACACTGTACTCCGCGCGTCCCGTCCCGTCTGCCGTCTCGCGGCACCCCGCGCCGATTCTTGGGGTCTTTCTCAACTCCAGCCCGCTCCAGCCCCTCGCGGCTTACCCTCCGACGAGCAGACAGACAGACAGACAGGCAGGCCGATAGAAGGGCGGGCGGCCTTGGGTGCGCGTGCCGCGCCGCGCCGTGCCGGCACACGACAAGGAGGCCTCCAGGAACTACCCCGTAACTACACCGCCGCGGGCCGCGAGATGGACGGGTCTGCGTCGGTATGTCCCCAGGACGCGGCATATGGTCCTGGGGGTCCTCAGCTCCGCTCCGCCCCAGGTTGCGCCACAACTCGCTCTTGCCTCACACACTCCTTCACCCTCCTGGGCGTGGCCAAGCGGCGCGGGGCCACCGTAAGGGGCGGCGGCAAGGCGGACCGCGCCAGCGTCAGTCTCAGTTCGGCTGATTTTTTACAGGTGTGCTAACCAGCAAGTTTAGCCCCTAAAAAGCCCCCCTGAAAATTTTAAAATTATTTCGGACACGATTGCAGCGGAAAATGCGATTTCCTCGACGTCGTGTCCTCCGTATGGTTAAAAGTCGAAATCTGGACCGCACTGAGACACTCGACGTTCGATGGAGGTTCATTTTCAACTGGGAGGGAAAATAACATGACGGCTCTAACTCACAGGCAGATGTGGCATAAAACCGTGAAAAAAAAATTCCCAAGGCATTTTCAAACGGCGATCTCCCGGAAAGGAGAACCCCCAGCATCCCTGCTCTACGCCACTGGAGAAAGCGGAAGCTTCCTAGGCAGCGTCTTGACAGATGAAGAAATTACGGCGTGTTTGACTGCTGGCCTTCCCTTTCTGTCGCACTTTACTGCCGTTCCATCAGTTTGTCCATAAACTGGATAAAAGGGCCGGGCAAGCGCGTCCCAGCTGGAAGGGCTTAATTTTACGGTGGACCCCGCAGGCCTCATCCGGAACGGAGATTAGCGCCTAGGGCATCGGAAGCGAAGGTTCAAAGGGACCAAACGACGAGCACAGCACATTGTCACTCTGTTTACGTGCGCGCGTGCGCCCACCGATACACCGAAAAAAGTACAGAAACAGTGTCCGCAGAAAAACTTGGCAAAACAGGGAAGAAAAATTGCAAGAAAGGTGTCACCGATGGGCTTGACTCGTCGAGCAGCTCTCTGGAACTCCCTGCACTGCCAACAACTCAATAAAGCCATAAAACAAAGACACATACCACACACATATCTGTACATAGATTTATAAAATAAAAATAAATTACAAACTTTTGATTTTTTTAAAAAATAGTCTATGCAAAATTCACAGTGATTCCGCAGAGGAAAGGGCGCAGTCACTGCCGGCCGTCGTTGGTGCAGGACAAGCTCACGTCGTCCCCGAAGATGTCCTTCGCGCGGGCAGCGCTCGCCGCTGGAGTCTCTTCAGTTGCCGGTGCAGCAGTCTCCGCACCGCCGCCTTGCGCAGCCACCCCCGCTGCACTTTCTACTTCCAGTGCTCCTGCTGCACTTCCCACTTCGGGTGGCCCTGGTGCACTTCCTACTTCCGGTGCCCCTGCTGCACTTTCTTCTTCCTGTGCTGCTTCACCGCCTTCAACCCCCGCGACACCCCCAGGTTCCACTTTCGCTCCTGCACTTTCTACCCCTGCTGGACTTTCGCCTCCCGGTATACTTTCTACTGCCGGCTCTGCTGTTCCTCCTTCCGGTACTTCTGTCCCTGCTACCGGTCCTGCTGCTCCTTCTTCCGGTGCTCCTGCTGGACTTCCCTCTCCCGGCGCCCCAGCTGGTTCCTGTCCCGGCGGCCCCGCCCCGACAGGGAGCTCCGCCCGGTTGGTGCAGGCGAGACTCGTGTCCTTGCCCAGGAAGTTCTTGTTGGAGGCCCTGGCGTCGGGCTCCACGGCCGGCACTTCGTCGGGAGGCAGCGGCACCGCCTGGTCGCCCGACGCCTCGCCGACGGTTCCCCGGGAGCCGATGCCGGAGTCCTGGTCCTGCGCGTCGCCCACCTTGCTGGCGTCCTTGGTGGACTCGGCGCCGACTTCGGCGACAACGCGGGCGTCTTCGCCTCCGCCGTCGGCGTCCTGGACGAGGACAGGGTCCGCGGCGCTGCTGGGCCCGGCGGCCGCGGAGCACGACACGCTGACGTCATCACCGAGCAGCCCCTTGGAGTGCTTCTCCTGCACCGCGGCGCCCTCCTCGCCCCCGGCGCCGCCGTGCTGCCCGTCGTCAACCTGCTTCCCGTCGGCCGGCTTCTCGCGGTGCTCGTCGGCGGGGTCGTCGCCGTGGCCAACGTCGGCGGTCTTCCTGGAGGACGACTTGCTGTGGCGGCTCGGAGGCCGCTCGTACTTGCCGTCCGTCTGCGCACCGCTGGACGTCTTCGAGGCCGCCGTCGAGGACGGGGCGCCGACGGCGTCCTCGTCGTGCGCCACGCACGAGGCGCTCACGTCATCACCCATCAGGCCCTTGGACTGCTTGGCGGAGAGCGGCCGGGCCGCGGAGTCCGAGGGTGGCTCGGCGTCGGGCGCGGGTTGTTCAGAGGCGCCAGTCTCCGGGGCTGGCCCAGCTTCCACGCCGGGGGCCTGTCCTGCAGCTTCAGACGGTCCAACGGCCTCACCGGCCTCGAGGGGCTGATCAGCCCCGGGAGGCTGCTCCACGGCCTCCATGGGTGGTTCAGCGGCAGCGTTTGAATCAACTGCCGACTCTGGCTGGGCACTCGCCACTACTCCAGCCGCGGCCCCGGCAGGTGTTCCCGAGGCGTCGCGCGCCACGCAGGACGCGCTGACGTCGTCCCCCATCAGGCCCTTGGACTGCCTGGCGGCGAGCACCTCGGCGACGGCCTGCTCGGTGGCCGCTGGGGGTTGTTCATCTTGTTCAGCATCTGGAGACGGTCCAGCTGCCGTCGGCGGTGCACCATCGTGGTCCAGCAGCCTCTCCTCTGCAGCATCCGGGGGCGGTGCGTCCGCTGCAGCGTCTGCAGGCGGTTCGACTGCAGGCCCCGACGGCGGTGCACTGCCGTCTAAGGGTGGAGCGGTGGCTCCGTCCGAGGTTGGTGCACCTGCAGCAGTCGGGGGAGGTGCCGTGCCGTCGTGCGCGACACAAGACGCACTCACGTCGTCCCCCATCAGGCCCTTGGACTGCCGGGCGGAGAGCAGCGCTGGTGGCTCCACGTCGGCGGCTGCGGGGCTCGGCCCAGCTTCAGGCACCTCCACTGTTGGTGCACTTGTGGCTCCGGCGGTTGGTACACCAGAGTCGTCTACAGGTGGTTCGACAGCTTCAGGCCCGGACAGTGGGTCACCGGTTTGTGGGGTTGGTTCGGCTACGCTCTCGAAGGTTGGCACAGCACCACCCTCTTGGGTTTGTTCAGTTACGCCCTCTGAGGTTGGCGCACCTGCACCCTCAAGGGTTGGCTCAGCTCCGCCCTCTGCAGTCGGCACTGCAGTCGGCGGTGGTCCAGTGTCGTCGTGTGCCACGCAGGAGGCGCTCACGTCGTCGCCCATGAGGCCCTTGGACTGCTTGGCGGAGACCAGCCCGGCGGCGGGGACGGCCTCGCCCTCGGGGTCGGCAGGCTGTTGCGGGGGCGGCACACCTGGCTGCAGTGTATCCACTGCGTCGGGGCTTGGCGCACCTGCAGGTGGGGCGGGGGCAGCTCCGCCGTCCAAGGGTGGCGGAGCTGCGCCGTCTAAGGGCGGCGCGGCTGCAAGGGGCGCGGACGGCTGCGCCGCGGCCTGCGCGGCAGGTCTCGCGGGGTCGTGCGCCACGCAGGACACGCTCACGTCGTCGCCCATGACGCCCTTGGATTGCTTGACGACGGGCAGGAACTCGGGGGCGGTGGCGGCCGCCTGCTTCGGGTCTTCCTGCTCGTCCGCCTTGACTCGCGGGGGTGGTGCTTCTTGCCCTACTTGTTCTTCTGGGTCCTCTTGCGCGGCGCGCCTCGGACGAACACCAGCGTGAGCCTGCCAAACAACGAGTGTCAAAAAGCAGTTCGGGATTTAATGGAGACTTTGAGTGGGGTTGCAGGTACCTTGGCGCCGCGCTGCCGCGAGCTGGAGTGCGCGCGCGACGCCGTCTTGGAGGCCACCTTGGCGGCCGGCCTGGGGGCGGCCCGGTGCGCGGCGGGGACCTGGCGGTGCGCGGCGGGGGCCCTGGGGGTGACGGCGGGGCGCTGCGTCCGCACCACCACCGCGGCGGCCAGGCCCAGCCGCCACTCAGGGGCCGTCGCCGCCCTCATGGAGTGGTGCGAGGCGGGGGTGCCGCTGCCGGCGTGCCGCGCCACGCCCTGCAGGGACTGCGCGGAGCTCGCCCGGGGGGCGTCCGCGGGCGGGGCGGGGGTGGCGGTCAGCCTCCGGGGCGGCGCGGTGGCGGCTGGCGGACGCAGGCTGACGGCCACGGCGGGGCGGCTGCCGGTCGAGCGCGGGGGCCCCCTTTGGGTGGCCGACGCCGTGCTGACGGGGACGCCGCCGCCGGCGCTCGGCGTCGTCCGCGGCGGCCGTCGTGGGGGGCGCTGTCGACGCGCACCATCGCCATCGGTCTGGTCGGACATCGGGGACGCTCCTCATGCCAGCATCGCCAGCCTGCAACGTGGACACGCAACAGGTGTACAGACAGGCCCCGCGTCACCCCGCGCTGTCACACAGTGGGGTGGCGAAGTGCGACAGAGACAGAGCGACCGGAGCAGCGTTCGGAATCAGCTTGCTGGGTCACTTCGCAAAACCCAGGACGAGGGCACCAAGAAGCATGGTTGCCCTAACCTCAAACCTGGACTACGGCGGCGCGGCGAGGACTGCGAGGACGGCTACGGCGAGGGGGGCGGTCCGCGGCGCCGGCCGGCGTCCCGGGGCCATGTCACTTGGATTTCCCTCGGGAAACACGGACAACGCCGCGTCCTTTCATTGTAGCGGGCGCAGCAAGCCGCCACTAGAGGACAACAATCAGCGACGCGGCGCGCGATTTCTCATCCAAGCCAATCCAAGCGGCAATCCCGGGCAGAAACTAGAAACAATCGAAACAGAACATGTATTCAGCATCGCCATTCACATTCGCCCTCCTCTGTCCTTCCCCCGATGCTCTTTTCGTTTCGCAAGGCGAGCATTAGACTGCCATAAACGCGGCCGCGGCTCCGAAGGGGTGGCTGGTGGCTCCTGAGGCGGCCGGTCTCGACGCCCCACCCTTTTCCTGCTGATTGAACCCCCTCCCTCTTTCCTCCCTCGAGCGGCGCTCCTGCAGACTGATTCCGAGTGTCTTTTTCGTCGTCGCTCTGTCTCTCTCGCACCTGCACGAAACGCCTCACGAGTGCGAGAGAGACAGAACGACGAAAAGGACTCTCGGAATCAGTCTCCCGGTGAGCCCCGCGGATTGCCTCACAAACCTGTTGTATGTAGCAATAACAACTCCAACCCTCCCAGCCCCTCGGCCAGGGCAGGGCCCGAAGAAGAAGGGCAAAAGGGGTGCGAATCGGTAGCTTAGATGGATAAGTACCAGGCAAATCCATTTTTGACGAGGTTCATTGATCGCGGGTCCAACTCCCGCCCACAGTACTATTTTTTTCTGAGCGTTTCAATGAAATCGTGGTCTGGGTAATACATACTCCACTCGGACCCCCTGTGTTGACCATCAAGCTGAGTAACAGTGAGAGGCTCATGCTTGACAGAGCCGTTTGTTGAACGTCCATCCTTAAACCTTAAACTCGAGCAAAAAAGAAAGCGCCTGCTAGAAAACTGGAACATAACTCACGCGACATTAGTCGGTCTTACGAGGTGATTTAAGCTCCTGCCCCTCCGTTAGTGCCTTAACGGGGGAAACGCCAACCCTGAGAACGGAACCCCTTTCCGCGGAGGTGAGTCGGGACCATCGGCACCGCGTGTCGTGTTATGTTCCCATCGTAAAAACTGCAGGCGTGGAATTGCATTAGCGCACCCTGCCGGCCTGCCGAGCGATTCAGATGAGTCTCTCTCGCACTCGTGGCACTCTCCGTGAGGGTGCGAGAGAGACAGCGACAAACCGCTGCCGGACGGGGACAATACAGAGCAGCATGCGGTGAAGGGGAAAGGAAGGGGGGGGGGGAGGGGGAGAAGAGAAGGGTGTAGATCCCGCCGCACGGCTTCCGAGGGTTGCCATCTCCATCCTGGATGTACTCCGGATTGCACTTTTTTTCGACAACTCTCTCCTTCTCTCCCTCTCTCTCCATCTCTCAGGTCCCGTTTTATGGAATTGTCCGAGCGGTTGCGACATCTCTCCGCTGCACCAGAGGCTCTCTTTCTCCCACACTCGGGCGAGACGTCCCTAAGGCCGTAGGGGTGCGAGAGAGACAGCCTTCTGCGCACTACAAAGCCCTTGCGGGGGTGGACTTGTTGGTCGTGACCTTAGGCTGTGCTGTCTCTCTCGCACTCATGGAGCGTCCCGGAGCGGCGCGAGTGAGACAGAGCGACGAACCGCGTGGTCTGTCTCGCACTCGCGGGGCGTCCGCTGCGGTGCGAGAGAGACAGCCCCACCCCTGATGGATGGGCTCGGTGTCACTGCGCTCTCGGCGCCAGGGCTGCCTGGGCGCGGTGAAGGTGGGCGTGCCGGCGTGCCGCGCGGTGCTGCAGCACTGTCGGTGGCGTGCACTGTAATTTCGGCCGGCCGCACGATGTCTTGATTGGCCCGCTATCGAGATCGCTTACAGGCCGTTTTCGTCGCTCCGTCTCTCTCGCACTCATGACGCGTCCCGTATAGGCGAGAGAGAGAGAGAGAAAGACAGAGCGACGAAAACGACTCTCAGTCTGCGGGCCGGGCAGGCCCGATTATTGGGGGGTCAGGGGTTGGACAGCCACAACCAAAAGTGAAGTTCTCGAGCAGGCGATGATAGGCATCACGCTGAAGGAAGTAATCCGGTTTCAGGGATTCGTGATCGCACAACGCCAAGGCATACAATTGGCGCCCGCTATACACAGTGGGCCAGAAGGGCGGTGGAGGTGGCCAAAACTCTAGACGCGCGTGTTGAGCTCCAGAGTCCAAACCGAACGTGTGACCCCACCAATGGATTGCTCTTCGAACGGGAAATCCATTGGTGGGGTCACACTCGGTTCGAGTCCCATTTAGCGACTCTGGGGCTCAAAACGCGTCCAGAGTTTCGGCCGCCTCCACCGGCCTTCTGGCCCACTGTGCGGCGTTGCGGCGTTTTTCCGGTGCTGCACCGCGCGTCGCTGGCGTGGCTCGGCGCAGCGCCTTGCAGTGTGGCGGTGGTGCTCTACAAATTCGAGCCACCTTGCACTTCGCGAGCGCGTCGACCCCTCTGCCGCCTCTGCCTTGATCTGCCTCCGCCAGCGCTCGGCCCGGCTCCACTGGGTTCCACTGGGCTGCACACGCCGCCCGGCCGCGCTCGACGAACGGAAGGTGTGTGATTCAAGCTCGTTCGCCAAAGCACGCAACTGAAATCTTGAGTCCGATTTCTGTCATCGTCATTCATTAATAAGCTGGCCCATTAAAAAAAAATTGAAGTGAAAAATAAAAAGAAGTACTAAATAACCGCAACGCGCGAAGCTCCGCAAAGCCTTTCCGCGAGTCTGCCCCGGTTTTGCCACTCGTCCGCCCACCCTTGTCGCGCCGCTTGTTTGAAACACCTGACTGTGTTGTGGTATCGGACGCGTACACACGCCGCGGCTCTATTCCGAGACACATTCGACATTCGGTTCGTTTTTGTGTTTATTTCGGTGGTCCGTCGTGGCTTTTTTTCTATTCCGTCGACACCTTTTCGGAGTGACGGTCACGCCTTTTCTGCGCGTCTCGTGCGAGAGGAGAGAGAGAGAGAGAGAGAGAGAGAGAGAGAGAGAGAGAGAGAGAGAGGCTCTGACGTCACGAGCGCTGTGACGTCACGCGTCAGCTGAGGCAGGCTGAGTCGTCGCACCTGCCTACTGTATGGCTGGCAGTTCTCCAATGGCCTGCCGTGCAGTACTAATGCAGTGCCAGCTCTGTCTCTCTCGCACCCCTGCGGGACGCCCCTCGAGTGCGAGAGAGACAGAGCGAGGCTGGTCGGGCCGGGCCCCCTTCGGGAACCGCAAAGAAAATAATTTCCGAATGGCGGGATTCGCAGTGAGGCGGACTCATCTCGACCGAGAGATACAGGGAGACTGCACGCGAAAGATAAGGCCCCGACAGTGGCGCGACCTTGCGGCGAATCCCTGAACCTTGTCTCGCGCTGTCTCTCTCGCACCCGCAGGCAGCGCCGCATGAGTGCGAGAGAGACAGCGACCCCGCGCCTATCGCGTGGCAGCGGCGGCCTGTAAGCGTGCCTTGCCAAGACGAGAAATTCGAAAGGAGAGAAAAATCAAGAAAAAGCCCTTTTCTGGCTCACTGTGTTCTGCACACTGGTGCCTTTGGATCCATCATTCCTCCCTCTCGCACTCGGTGAGGTATTTGGGTTGCTGGTGGCGCGTTCGAGGAGTTGGAGGCGTGGCTGCGTCCGAACCCAGCCTCACCTGATGCAGCGGCCTGACTAGGAACCTGATCCGCGGCGACCCGTGGGCGGTTCGGCCGGCCGACTCGAGTACGCAGCACAGTGGGCCAGAAGACCGGTGGAGGCGGCCAAAACTCTAGACGCGTTTGGAGCTCCAGAGTCGCTAAACGGGACTCGAAGCGAACGTGTGGCCCCACCAATGGATTCCTCGTTCGAAGAGCAATCCATTGGTGGGGTCACACAATCAATTCGAGTCCCATTTAGCGACTCTGGAGCTCCAAACGCGTCTAGAGTTTTGGCCGCCTCCACCGGTCGTCTGGCCCACTGTGCGCCGCCCATCCCAGCCCAGAGGCCCAGAGGCCGACGACCACGGAAAAAAATGAAGAAAGACAAAAAGGAAAGAAAACAGTCCATCTCGCTGAAACGAGATTTGTCCGAGTGCTGCGCGTGCACTGTAAAAAAGTCGAGTCAAATGGACTAAAACTACTATAACTTTACTTCATTTGTCTGTATTTCGAAGAAGTTTTTACTAGGTACTTGCTAAGTCAAAACTAAAATTGTCATCGATTGGACGTAACTCTTTGAGCGGTGTGATAAAAGTAGATCACAGCGAGGACTTTTTTTCGTCGCTTTCGTTTGTTGAATGAACAAAAAGAGAGTCAAACATTTGAGACCTGAACGAAAGAAAGCGCGGGCCGGTTTGGCACGCACGCAGAATTGGCGGATTCTGATTGGCTGAGCTGATAAGCCACTATCAGTGGCCACACGTGGCGGGGGGCAGGCCGACTCAGTGCTTTCGACACTCTGTCCCACTCGCACTGCCGCGGGGTGCCGCTGGGGTGCGAGCGAGAGAGGCAGAATCAGTGCAGGCGCCACAAGCCCGGTTCACGCGGTGCACAAAGCACACGGTCATCTCAAAGAACCGACGGGGGTCAACAATTCGTCTCATGTCAGCGCACGCGCAGACAGGTACTTTTCCAACAAAAAAAATTGAGTGTGTAAAGGTATCATTATCTGCTAAAACTCAGAACAATATAAGAGTTTTTGTAGAATGCTGTTTTGCGCCCAGGACAGCCGTTTGTAGAATTTTGGTGTGAATGAAAGTCTTGATTCAAGAATACTCGCTTGCAACTAGTAGAATATATTTGGATCAGTGATATTGTTTCCCCCTCACTAAAATCGAGAACGGGCGAAGAAATCAAGAATCCATTTTTCTGCGGGTGTATGGTGGACAATGGCCACCTTGGAGTGAATAACCTGATGGACGAGCAACTGCAAGTTTCCCTGCATGGCAGAACGCCCTACTCGCTGCCGCCAGGTCGCTGACGCCTGCAGTGTGCGAGGGTTTGAACTTGCGAGGGGGGGGGGCGCTGCAGCGCGCTGCTCGAAGGAAGACGGCCATTTGCGATTTGGAGGGGAAATCAACGGAAAATGCTCCAGTTTAGCGAACTGACGAGCCTCAAATCCGAGGCCGGGTACGCCGCACTGCGAAGGGAACATCCCCGCGTCTCTGCTGCCAAAAGCACCGCCGCGACCGCCGCCCCCGTCGCGCTGAGCGAGCAGAAGTAGGCGACTAGCAACGCCTTTGTACCAGTCAGCAGAGTAGTGGACGGGCACTAAGAGGCAAACACCCACTCGCACGCACACTGTCAAACAACCACACACACAGTCACACGTACGCACGCACACACAACTCGTTGGCGCCTTTTCCCAATACTAGGCCAAATTGCACGTGGCTCGTCATAATGAGAGACGATTAGCACTGCAGAGGTCGCGAGAGGAGCGGACGGGAGGGGATCGAGGGCAGGACGGGATGGAGAGGAGAGAGACAGGGATAGGTTAGGTTAGGGGTTAGCTGTGACGAACAGGGTGGGAGACCGGATTGGGAGAGGGTAGGATAAAAGACTAGAAGGGGGGGGGGGAGAGGGTGGCAGGATCAGAAGGAGAGGATGGGATCAAGAGAAGGACAGGATGGACGGGGCCGCCGTGCTGGGTAGGCAGCCCGCCGCACCGCCGTGCTCGACAGACGGGTCAGCAGGCAGGGGCGCGGCTCCGCCTCTCTCTCTCTCTCTCCACGGGATGTTGCAAGAACCCCGCCATTAGCCGCACGGGCATCCCTCTCCCTCGCACCGCAGGACATGCCTCATGACTGATTTGAGGCTGGCGTGCGGCGGCGCGTCCAAGGCGCGTCCGTCGAGGCAAACCTG